TATTTCCATCTGAGGTGTAAGAAACCTGTCTATTAAATGCACAAACTCGAGTATAATTCTGATGTTATATTTGTACTACCTTCAGTCTTCAGCTACAAGGAACAGTCATAGTGTGAGCCTCTGAGTCACTATACAGGTGTGTCGGCAATACCTATACACTATAGTTGCTAAATAAGTTTTTGTTTATCTTTTAATTTTTCGACTTTTTGTGAACTTAATGGACAAGTGTATCTCAGACGCTATAAGGTACTGATAAACGGTCTTCACTGTCAGGTTAATGGGATCAAACTCCGGGTTGATAAAATAGATTGGTTTGGTTAGGTTACTGTGGTTCACGATCAGGGTTCGCTAAAAAAAAATCAGGGAGAAGCATAAATGAAAGAAGAACCATGGTGACCGTAGATTTGAGAATAGTCAAAGAGAGACTTTTTACAATGAACTGTACATCTTGAGTTATGTTGCATGGTACAGTACCCACAGATGGCACCTGGTGGTGTGGTGCACGACTTAAAACGTCACTCAACCAATAACAAGACCAAGAGCCTCACATGTGTTATAGCCACCACACAGTATCATAGATCACATACGGAACACCCAAGCGCTCAGTAAAATGTAGTAAAGCTTTCTGAACACCCAAGCGCTCAGTAAAATGTACTAAAGCTTTCTATGTGCCAGATCTTGTGCTGTAAAAGCTTCTTCTTCTTCTGCACACATCCACTGAGGCCATACACAAGAGAAGACTGGCTTATATATATGATTCATTTGGGTGCCATAAAGGCCTTCAATAATGTCCTACAATATCTGGTTCATAAGCTTAGCAATTCCGGTATTACTGGAGAAACACAACAGTGAATTTCATACTTTTTTTTAACGCAACGTAAATGGTTTCTGGTCCACCCGGGTTGTGTAGTATTGGGTGTAGCGTTCTGCAGGGGAGTGCGTTAGGACCGAAACTCTTCGTTATAGACATACTGTACATTACGTTACGGACGACAATAAGCGATCTTATATAAATGAGAAGGACCTAAACGTGGTAGTTGACAATACAATGAATGTAAAAGCATAAGGCCTCCATACATACATACATACATACATACATACATACATACATACATACAGTACATACACCAATACGAGATATACCACACACCACGTCCATCACCACCTTATTACCCTGAAGAGTTCCATCACCCACCCATCTACACGGTAATAAAGGCGCATACAACTGGTTCTGGGTCACTTGCCTATCATCTCCTTCACAATCAGTCACCCGCCCCACGACAACTTGGGGGGCGGTGGCCAGTTACTGCATAGCGGGGACGACATTTTTGCAGCGAGTTTTAATTGTTGTTTTAATGTCTCGTTGGATCCTCTCGACACATCTCTAGGGTCTTCCCCCACCACTACCAACCATCTCTCCACCACTACCACCCATCTCCCCACCACTACCCACCCCCAACCATCCACACCCACTCACCCCAACCACAACCCACAATCAACCATCAAGCCACCACTACCACCCGCCTCAATTTAAATTCAATTTCCTTTTTTTTTCTAGCTGGGAAGAGTTGGGTTAAACGACGTCAGGTTAGGTCATCCAGCTTAGCTTCGGTTAACTTGAATTTCGTTAGGTTAGGTTAGGTTAGGTTAGGTTAGGTTAGGTTAGGTTAGGTTAGGGCAATTCCAAGGCCATGTGTGCACAGGCAAGGAGGACAATGGGCAACATACGCGCACAGTTGTTCACTGACATATATCTATACTAACTCATAAGAATACTGTGCACTATACATATGGATACAAAACAAATATAACGCGCGCACACGATACTCACCAACACGTTAACATTTACACTACTGTTGGGGAAATTATGAAAATAAACACACAATTACACAAACTATCTCTCGTTCTCCCTGTCTCTATATCTCTCACACACAATACATACCCCCTTGCACGCAGTCTTTCTTTCTTTCTTTCTTTCTTTCTTTCTTTATCTCTCTCTCACGGTACATTCCTCCCGCCAGCTTACATAATGAGCGGTGGCCGGCTGTACTCGCCCACCACCAAGCAGGTCGACCATCACCCGCAAAAACCCGTGTTTCTAGATCCACCTACCTGGCTCTGCCGTGGGCGGGGCTATATTTAGACCAGCCCACCACACAAGGCCACTCACTCACACACATACACACCGACTTCTTTAATTCTTTTTCTTGTAGGACATGTAGTAATGCTACACACGGCCGGCTGGAACATGTAGTCCTTACCATAGTATAATACAAAACTATAAAGACGACAATAATAATAATAATAATAATAATAATAATAATAATAATAATAATAATAATAATAATACATCAATGCTATAAGGCTATAATACTATTATTATTATTATTATCATTATTATTATTATTATTATTATTATTATTATTATTATTATTATTATTATTATTATAGAAAAGTATATATACACCAAAATGATCCAGGTAATTTGGGTTGGTGAGCGAACTCCTCTCCGTGCCCCAAGTGTGAGTTTGTTTACATGCGTTATTAAGGTGTGCAGAGGACACCACAGATAACGGAGGAACAGTGCTGGGCTGGTCAGTGATCCGGGCAGAACCATCACCGCCTGCAGCACACACTGGTCCCCTAACAACAAAAGACTTAACAAGAGCTGAGCAACTTGCATCGTCCACAACAAAGGATGCCGCTAGGGTCTGCCTTGCATGACAACATCAACAATGCTCTATACACAAGAAGTGCGGTGGATAGAGCATGGTCCCACGCCACTACACACGTGACTACTAACAAACTGACGCCACTACACACGTGACTACCAACAAACTGACGTCACAAAACACACAAATGGTCCTCCCACTTGGCTCCTCGTGACCAACTGGCAATACCCGGAAGGAAGAGGGGAGGGGGGGGAAGGAACAAGTGTGAAAAGCAGGAAGAAATAAAGAGAGAGAGATAGATAAGAAGTATGAAGGATGAGAAAGAAGAGAATAAAGAGGTTGGTGAAGGATGTCAGAGGTGAGGTGAGGTGGGGTTGGGTTAGGGTGAGGTTGGGTATGCTGGGGTGGGGTTGGCGTGGGTTGTTAGGCTGGCTATATAGGGTAGACCACAATCACTCATGCCTCCTCCTCATCACTAGTCCATCATCACCATACACTTTTGTCAACAAGGCCCTTTAGCTCTTTTAGCCTACGTGCAAATACTCCGCTAAGATACCAGGATGTGCTCCCCCACCCACGTAACAATACCCTCTACACACACGTTAGGAGAGACTGAGGGATATTGGAAACAAGATATATCCCTAAGACCTGACGGTGAGCTAAGGGCAGTGTAGATACAACAGATTGCATAGTAAGTCCTCTCGCTCTCTCTCTCTTACTGTCTCTCTCTTGTACAATTTCTCCCCGTTACAACATATCTCTCTCTCTCTCTCTCTCTCTCTCTCTCTCTCTCTCTCTCTCTCTCTCTCTCTCTCTTATACAATATCTCTTTCTCTTATACACATTCTTTCTCTCTGTCTCTCTCGTACAGTATCTCTCTTTCTTACATCACATTTCTCTCTATCTTCTCTGTCTTACACCCTATTTCTTTGTCTCTCTCCTATACAATTTCTCTCACTTTTACACACTCTCTTTCACACACACTCTCTCAATCCTGTATTCCCCAAAACAACAACCACTGGCCAAACCTGTGTCGACTTGATCACGCCAACAGAATACTCAATAGGGAAATTCCTCATACCAAAAATGGGTTAACTACACCCGACAACCATGATTGTTTGTCATGGTTGTTTGCCCCAACCTAAATCCTCATAAGGGTCGTAAGTTAATATATTTTCACCCATCTCATAACTGGTGATTTCAGGATGTGTTTATGTTAATTCACTAAAGCTACGACACAAAGGTAGATTCTTAAAAGGTTCTTAAGTCAATTAACTTTTTGTTTGACAGGTGATGAAAGAAATGAACCTGACTGGCATATTTAGGTAATGAGAGAGAGAGGATGTGATGGTTGTAGTACTGGTGGTGGTAGGGGGGGGTGGTAGTAGTGGGGCGGGTAACGGTGGTAGTAGTGATGGTGTCAGACATTAGAGTAGTGTTAGTAGTGGTGGCAGACAAGGGGTTGGGGGGCAGATGTAGGGGGTAGTTGGTGTGAGGATGGCAGGTATGGGGAGGAACACGAAGACCAAGCACCTTCCTTCCCTCACCTCCTCCCCACCCACTACCCCCATCTTGCCACTCCCTTTCACCTTCCCCCCCTCCCTTCACCTCCTCTCACTCGCCTATTACACCACCTGTCTTTATAATGATCACTGGCCCCAAACTCTGAAAGATTCTCAGTTAGATCACTCCCCCTTCCTCTCCCTCCCTCTCTCTCCCTCCTCCTGCCCCTCCCCTCTCTCTCCTCCTCCTGCCCCCTCCCTCCTCCCTCCTAACACCTCACGCTAGAAAATTCTTGGGTGAAACATGGAATCTGTTTATGCCAGTGTCCAGTCTTGCGTGGTAGCATTAAATGAGGTAGAGTGGATGTGTTCTCAGACCTAAGGAGAATATTTGAGATAAGAAGTTCTGGGAATAGGTAGGAAGACGACCAAGAGCCTCTCTACACCAGGACTTGTGTACATGGACTCCTGTGTGTGTGTGTGTGTGTGTGTGTGTGTGTGTGTGTGTGTGTGTGTGTGTGTGTGTGTGTACAAGTCAGTGTTACACAAATTTCAATATAAAAGAGCGCCACTACAGGAAGGAAGTGGACGATCCTTCGCCTGGGAGTATCTTTGCAAGATGGCGGAGAAGATCGTCAGGCGCTGTAATTCTCGTGTTGGCGGTACTTTTATTGTATGAGTGAATGAATCATAGAGTGAGTGAAGCTTAACAATACAACTGTAATACATAACTTGAGAGAGAGAGAGAGAGAGAGAGAGAGAGAGAGAGAGAGAGAGAGAGAGAGAGAGAGAGAGAGAGAGAGAGAGAGAGAGAGAGAGAACGTACCTGGGGGATGCCGAGGAAGGCGACGATGTTGTCAGAGGTATAGACAATGTCGCCGTCAGTAGAGAGGACGAGGAGGAAGCCGTCCAGAGCCTTGAGCAGGAGACAATCCCACTCCACATCCAGCTTAGACTTGCCTCCCTCAGTCGTCTTGGTGAACTCTGGACAATAACACAATAACACTACATTAGTTTGAGCATCTTTAGGATTCTTATATAACATTAGTGACAGTCTCCCTGTTACTGTCCATCTGTCACTTTCCTTGTATACCATGTCACTGCCACCCTCTTACTGTTTTTGTATACCATTTCACTTTCCTTGTATACCATGGTACTGTCCTTGCATACCATGTCACTGTCCTTGTATACCCTCTGTCACTGACTTTGTATAACATGTCACTGTCTTTGTATACCCTCTGTCACTGTCTTTGTATAACATGTCACTGTCCTTGTATACTCTGTCACTGTCTTTGTATAACATGTCACTGTCTTTGTATACCCTCTGTCACTGTCCTTGTACACCCTTTGTCACTGTCCTTGTATACTCTGTCACTGTCTTTGTATAACATGTCACTGTCTTTGTATACCCTCTGTCACTGTCCTTGTACACCCTTTGTCACTGTCCTTATATACCATGTCACCGTCCTTGTGTCTCCTCTCTGTCATTGTCCTCATGCTACTCTCCTGATGTTCCAAGTGTCAGTGTCAGGTCAGTACACACACGTCCAACTCTGTTATTCTTCCTCACCTTGGCACACACACACACACACACACACACACACACACACACACACACACACACACACACACACACACACACACACACACACACACACACACACACACACACACACACACACACACACACACGTACATCACAAATTAATAAATCACCATAATATATCAATGGACCGAATGAAATATCAATACCTGTATTATACAAAAATACTCAATTATATAAGTGTGTGTGTGTGTAAAATAATAATAATAAACGGTTTATTAATAGAGTTGCAGCCGGTGGCTGAAAATATACAAACTTACATTTGATTTAGACATAATGATATAATATACATTGAATACATTTACAGGGCTGTACAGTACATAAATCAGGAGTTGTTTATTATTTTAACAATAGATGGGATGGTGCTATTCTTATATAAGAACATAAGAACATAACAATGGAGGAAACTGCAGCGGGCCTATTGGCCCATACTGGGCAGTCCCGTTTACACCCAACCCCTATTGCTCATATAAGTATCCAACCTATGTTTGAAGCTATTCAGCGTATTCGAGTTAATGATGATATTTGGTAAATTGTTCCATTCATCCACTACTCTGTTTCCAAACCAGTGTTTACCTATTTCACGCCTAAATCTAAATTTTTCTAATTTAAAACCATTGTTACGAGTTCGCTCCTGGTTGGATAGTTTGAGTACCTTTGTAATGTCCCCTTTGTTTAGCCCTGCCTTCCACTTATACACCTCTATCAGGTCGCCCCTCGCTCTACGTTTCTCGAGGGAGTGCAAATTAAGATGCTTTAACTTGTCTCTATACTCAAGGTTCCTAATGCCCGGGATTGGTCTTGTCATTCTCCTCTGAATTCTTTCCAAGGATTCTATATCCATTCTGTAATACGGTGACCAGAACTGAACTGCGTAATCCAGGTGTGGTCTCACAAGAGCAAGATACAGTTTTAGGATGACCTCGCTAGTCTTGTAACTAACACTCCTTTGTATGGACCCAAGTACTTTATTGGCCTTGTTACGAGCAAAAACACATTGTTTACTTGGCTTAAGGTTCCTACTTATCATTACTCCTAAATCTCTCTCGCAGTCGGATTTCTCTATGGCATCGTTATTCATCTGGTATCTGGTTTCCCTGTTTACATCTCCTATACTGAGTACTTTACATTCGTCCACGTTGAATTTCATCTGCCATTTTTCAGACCATTCGAAAAATTTTTTTAGATCTTCCTGTAGTTTTGCGGAGTCCTCGTCAGATTTAATAACACGTCCTATTTTACTGTCATCAGCAAATTTGCTTATGTTGCTGTCTATGCCGATATCTATGTCGTTTATGTATATAATAAATAATAATGGTCCAAGTACTGAGCCTTGGGGAACTCCACTTGTGACGTTGCTCCAATGGGACTTAGTGCCATTAATGCTCACTCGCTGTTTCCTGTCCTGTAACCACCCCCTAATCCATTTAAGGATATTACCTTTGATGCCATGTACTTCTACCTTTCTAATTAGTCTTTCGTGGGGGAATCTGTCTAAGGCTTTGCTAAAGTCGAGATATACCACATCATAATTGTGCCCCTCGTCCACCGATTCGAAAACTGATGAAAATAATGTTAATAGATTAGTTAGACATGAACGTCCGCTTGTGAAGCCATGCTGGGAATCATTGATCAATCGGTGCTTCTCCAGGTGATTTCGAATAGAGTTTGAAATGATTGCTTCCAGTAATTTGCCTACTATTGATGTTAGACTGAATGGGCGGTAGTTAGAGGATAGTGATCTATCCCCCTTCTTGAAAATCGGTATTACATTCGCTATCCTCCAGGATTCTGGTACTACACCTGTTTTTAAGGACATGTTAAACAACTTTGCTAAGGGCATACTAAGCTCTTCCTTACATTCCTTTAATACTCTGGCAAATATCTCATCGGGACCAGGTGACTTATTAGGCTTTAGTTTGTCTATTTGCTTACTAACATCATTACTAGTCACTACTATCTCGCTTAATTTGTTTTCTTCACTATCTCTGAATAGAGTCGGTGCCCTGGGTATCATGTTTAAATTTTCGGTGGTGAAAATTGTTGAAAAATATTTATTCAAATTATTGCTCATTTCTCTGTCGTTATCAGTGAGCTCGCCGGTATCTGACCGTATTGGTCCAATTTTTTCTCGTGTTTTAGTTTGATACATTTGGTAGAATCCTTTGGGGTTTGTCTTCGCCTCCCTTGCTATCCTTACCTCATTATTCCTCTTGGCTTTCCTTATCTCGGTTTTAACCCTACTCGCCAATACCCTATAATAATCCCGGAGGTAAATTTCGCCACGATTTATTCTTCAACCTATAGCCTTCCTTTGGCCAATGATCTTTAAATAATTATTTATCCACTTAGGGTCATTGTTGTCTGATCTGAGTTTTTTGTATGGTATGTTCTGCCTTTGTGCATTAAGTAACTCATTATTTAAATTGTCGTGGAACTCGGCAATCTCAGATCTCGCTATTAGGTCGGTGTCATCCGTCAGGTTCACGGCCAAGCGCGACACCCCCTCTCTCAGCTGCCTCTTTAAACTGTCAAAGTTTGCCCTTCTGAAATCTGGTACTTCAGTGGAATTTTCCTTACGTCTGCCCTGAAAATCTAACTGGAATCTAATTTCTTTGTGATCGCTGTTTGCAAGTTCGTTCCCTACCTCGACATTGCTAATGAGGTTTTTTCTGTTTGACAGAACTAATTCGAGTATATTATTACCCCAGGTGGGTTCGGTTATATGTTGACTTAGAAAACAGTCCTGGATCGTCTCGCGAAAATCCTCTGATTCTGAGTTACCTGTAAGGTCAGTCCAATCTATTTGGCCAAGGTTAAAGTCGCCTACTATACAGACTTTGTTGTGTATGGAAGCCCTGCACATTTCAACCCAGATAAGTCGCTCATTAACTCTATCAAGATTGGGAGGTCTATATATTACACCTGTGATTAATTTTTCCCTACCGTTGATTAATTCTATCCAAATTGTTTCTGTATTCAGCTCAGTTTTTATTTCCTTATTTATTTCACACTTCAGATTATCCCTAACATAGATTGCTACTCCGCCTCCTTTCCTGGTCTGCCTATCCGTATGGAACAGTTTGTAACCCGCAATTTGGTATTCGCCCGGTAACTCACGTGAGTCTAGGTTGATCCATGTTTCAGTGAATGCTATTATATCGATTTTTTCGGTACATACCAAGGCCCTAATATCATTTATTTTGTTTCTCATACTTCTACTGTTCGCGTAGTATACATTTAAGTTAGTCGTGTTCTGAGTCCTCCCCTTACCGCGTTTAGTTTTAAACTCCCTGTCTAATTTAGTTTTGTCATCATTCCTAACACTATTTCCCTGTAATTTTTCACTTTGTTTACCCGCTCCCATTGCATTCTCCTCCACCCCCGTGCTCATATGTTCTCCTAGCAGTTTAAAGACTTCGATATCTTTTGAACTGCCCTCTCGAGAGCCCCAGCCAGGGTTGCTACTCCATCCCTAGCAGGTGCACCCCATCCCTAGCATAAAGGCTGAATTTTGTTGTAGTGGCGGACTGCGCGAGTTGGGTGGGGGGCTGCAGGTGGCAGGAGGTGGCGATGACGAGGGTGGTGCAGTAGTCCACTGCTAAACCTTTCCAGTGCTTGGTGGTGGAGGTCACTGAGGGATGGCATTTCCAGGGTGGAGAGAGCGTTGGTGTAGCCGGAGTATTCTCCGCCGAGCATGATTCTGCAGGCCCTTTTCTGTACCTTCTCTAGCTGACGTTGTTGGGTGGAGTGAGAGAAGACGACCAGGCTGGTGACGCATACGTTAGTTTGGGGAGAATAAAGGCGTTGTAGATGGTCCTCAGCTCTGGCGTGAGTGTCCCAAGTGACCTAAGTCGTCGTAGCATGTAGAGACGGTACGTGGCTGCCTTGACTGCGTTATTTACATGGGCCTTCCAGTCAAGTGTGCGTGCGTGTGTGTGTGTGTGTGTGTGTGTGTGTGTGTGTGTGTGTGTGTGTGTGTGTGTGTGTGTGTGTGTGTGTGTTTGTGTGTTTGTTTGTTTGTGTGTGTGTGCACGTACGAATCGGTGTTACACAAACATCAACAGAAACATACCCCGACAAATATCTCGGGGTTGTCATGTCTGGCAACGAGCCAGCCACACCTGGTCTAGGAACACAGTGCTAACCAACACCCTCCCGTAAGAATCATTTTCCCTCACTAACCACTAACAATTGTAGACCTTAACTCCCCCAGACGTGTGACCCAGAGTGGAGGAGGCAAGGAAGGCGGCGGCAGGGTAAGTATGTCTCCCAGGGTATTAACCTTAGCTCAGGGTCCCAGACACTCTCACGATGATAACTGTCCTCATAACTGTGTATGTGTGTCAGGAGGGTTAAAAATACACATGAACGTCTCTAA